AAGCTGAAGAAAACTCAAGACCAAAACTCTCACAGATTAAGATCTCTCCCTTTTTTCTCTCTCACAGCTCCTCAGAAATGTTGTAAAGCGCTCAGACGGTTTTTATGTGGAGGCTTCAAAGAGGAAGTGTGCTGTCACAGAGCCAGCTGACATTACTGCTCGCTGAGGGTCAGAGAGGCGTATGACCACAGCTAAAGTGTCTGCAGCAGACTTTGTCCAGGGAGAAACTGCAACACGCTGCACCGAGCAGCGACTGGAGAGGGTTCATTGTATTTTAGAGGATAGTTGCAGATCTATTCAAATAAATCTATATATGTAAAGCACACCTGTTGTAGGTGCACGACTTTCTATTTTATGCGGTTTTATTTGCAGTTCAGTTGTCATAAAAGCATGGCAGTCGTACACAAAATGGCATGTATTGTTAAAGATCAAGCATGAAATTAATGTGTTTGGCTCTTAATCTGAAAGCTACACTTTTGTCTGTTTTGCTTTAAATATTTAAAATGTTGAGATTTGTGAATTTATTCTCTATTGAATTCAAATGTATCTCACCATGTGAATAACAACTGAAAGAAGCATTCCTTCAGTGCACATTTCCTGCTGCCTTTCATTCCAAGATGTTAGGCAAAGTTCATGTCTGATCAATGCATGCTGAAGAAATGTGATAGGGATGAGTCTCAACTAATATCATTTCAAATTTCAGCTCAGTGTTTGAATAAGTCTCTAAGTTACAGCCAGTTTTGTGTTTGCAAGTTTCATTAGATGTGGTGGCCATCTTAAATCTTAAAAAAGTTGTAGAAGTGCATTCAATGATTAAATTAAGAGACTTTCATTAAAATCCATCCAATGATTCATGAGATATTTTGCTAACAGACATACAAGGATGATTCCAACAGTTAACATCAGCTTTAAACAAAGACCTTGCAGGATCTGTTAATGCTAAGAGTATGTTTTGGGAGTGACTTTTAGCTACAGCCACTTTGAATTTCAACTCAATAAGTGAAACAATAATGTAGCTATTTTTATGTTTGATAAGTGATAGTTACATATTGGCACCAGTGACCCTCGCAACCTGAAAAGGAAGAAGCGGGTAAAGATAATGGATGGTTGGATGGATGGATGGATGTTGAACGTGGTTGACTCCAAAAATTAATAATTTATAGATATATCTCTAATGATTACTTTCTGAGAGTTTGAGCAAAATCCATCCTCTTGTTCTGAAGATATTTTGCTAACAGCCGGACATAGGCACAAGCAATTACATTACTGCCATAGAAACAGTTTATCTTGAAGTAGACGCTGATTCTCAAAAAGGAAAACATGATAAAATGACCAAGGAATAACATTTATTCTGTCGTAAAACTGCAATTTTTTAAAAATATAGTAGTACGTATTGTAGCTGCTGTATATACTA